TAATTAATTCAAAAGCCACTGAGCATATTAAAAAGCAATTATTCTTGTTTTGTTTTATGAAACAATCTTGATTTACTATATTTTAGTTTAGATTATTTATATTACTGAAAATACTTAACAGTAATTGTTCTTCAAATGTTTGTTCATTTATGATTTATAATTTATAAAGTTCTATAAAGTACATGTGACAAATAGAGCCAGAATTCTGAATATTTTCATAGCCCAGATTCAATTATAGATTATTCAACAGTTAGTTTCTTGTCTAATAATTTGGTCAAGCGGTATTCTATAAAAAAAAACAACAACTTTATTTTAACTCTGTAAAATAGTTCCAAACGAAGTCAAGAAACACACAGACTGGAACACAGTATGTGAATGGAGTGGGATTTAATGTTCACTGATGGGAACCGAGGTCACGATAGTAACCAAAGTGTTTTTTTTTTTTTTTATCTACAATATTTACATTTGCTCAGTGTGATGCATTCAAGGTATAAGTTTTATCAGTATACAGTATGCCTTCCCTGGGGATCAAACTCATGAACTCAGCACAGTTAGCGCTACCAGTTAAGATACCAGAATGCAGATTAGAAAAGCTCGAGGATACCAATAATCTTCTTAACATTTGTTTTTCTAGAGTGGACCATCTTATGATCATGCAGAAAGCCATTAACCACCATCACTCAGAACTGACAAGATTCACGACAGAGCTCACTTTTTGCCATCCCTAAATGAACAAAAAAAACATCAAAACTTTGCTGCTTCGGTATTGAAAGTGCAAAAAGAAAAAATAATTATCCCTGCTCTTCAGAACTCTTGCATAAGTTTAAGTTAAAAATTTTAGGAAATGTATTGAAAAGTATGGACTTGCACACAAATCACACTAAATATAATCTACAAAACATAGAAAAGACCATCTTGTGAGTTATGCACTTGCACAAATCATATATTATTTTCCCCAAGAGACCTAAGTCAAAGTTTTTCTTGCCCCAAAACTATTTTAGTTTTTATTTTATTTATTACCATTTTTCTTCCTCACTCTCACCCTTGAAATTAAATGGGCCATTTTATTATTTATTTTTTTTTGCTGACGTGGTTTGAAATGTATTTTGTATTTACTGAGTATTCTTCTCGTTTCCAGGTACGTCTAGTTAATTAGTCTTGTTAACCTGTTTTTCCTTTAAGTGCATGTAAGATCTCCTGTTTTCCTTGTTCTTTATCAATTTTTGTGCCATGTAGAGATTATTAAATGCTTCCCTAATTTCTGAACATGTCACAGATTAAGTTTTCAGTTCTGAAATTTATTACAAAAGATCAATGAATTTGTGATATTTCCTAATATTTCAAAAGATTAACTGATTTCATATGATACCTGTAGATATGACACCCCTTAAATCATATTATGCAGTGACTTTTTTTCTTTGTTTCTTATTTTTTTAAGATACACAAAAGATAAAAGATACAATTTGTGATGAGCTAAACTAGGCCACCTTAACAACACCAGTAAAAAAGAAAGACTACAGCTAAAACAAAACCATGTTTATGTTCTCCCCACAGAAGCAGCAAGATGTTGCTTGAAGACATTTGCTTTTGTAACATCACTAACAGCCTGTAAGCTACAAGAATACTAATTGTGCTCTCGAGGGGAGTAAGACAATGACATTCAGAAAGTGTTTGAAAATAAAACAGAGAAAAGATAACGCCTTGGGCATGGTCCTACATCAGTGTACATGAAAACACTACTTCATTAAGATGATCTGGTGATAACACTGCAGTGGTGTTTTAGCATAAGAACACAAACATTTACAGATCCAAGACAAACATTAACTGATCTAACTAGTTTCAAACTAGCACTAGCTCTGCGTCGTCACATTATCAATGAGGACTAAGACTTGAACTATAAGGAGGTGCAAATATTTATGATATATTCATTATTTTTGTTGAGAATTTAAAATGAAACAATACTGTGACCATTTTAATGCACACTTTTTATTTGGGTAGTTCAAAGCTAGCAAAAAAAACAGTAAAACATTTTTTTATAAAGTATTTTGTACTAGATTAATACAGTATTTTCCCCTGGCATTAAACTTTTCCAATCTACTTTGCAACCATGGCTGTTTGTTTGAAAGGGTGGCACCTCTTATTACAAAATAAAAACTAGTAAAATTATCAAAATGCCAAAACATACAGTAGACAGTATTTTAATCATACTAAATTCCTTGGTGACTTCATTTCTACAAAGATGATTAGGACATGAGGTCAAGTCTGTGAGGATGAAAACATGAAATCACCTTGCATCTGCCAGCATTGCCCTGACAACTGCCCATGCTGCAACAAAAAGAGCAGGAACACCTGAAATGAAACAAAGTAGGAAAAGTATATTTCAATCAACAGTTAGTAAACATTGTACTATAAGTGAAACTGATGATAAATCTTATGGTAATTTTATTATTTAAATTATATGAACTCTGAAGAAAAATATGATGCTGGTGACCATGTTGCAAATTTACATCAAAGAGAGTAAACTGAATTTGTAAAGTAATCGGAGAACTCAAACTTTAATGACATTGCATTCCTTAATATTATGTGGACTATTCTAACAAGAATGCATACGATTTTATTTCCTAATTTAGAATGCATTCCAGTAAACCACAATAAATGGCAAGAACAAAAGCTAACATCATGTACATGGATGTTAAAATGTCTTAGGACATTTTAGGGAGGCACTGAAGCATGATTAAGCTTCAACGACTCCCCAGGGGTTCAAGAGCACCAGTGGAGACTTGCACTCATAGATGGATATCCTGCAGCGTAATCTCCATAAAATACTGCTTGTTTACTTATTGCCAATGGAGTGTTTTTCACTCCAAACACTGGACAGGAAGCACATCTCTTCTGTCTGGTACAGTTGAAACTTGATTGAATATTTCAGTTCTGGCAAAACGTCTAAATAATTGTTTTATTTATTAATATATTTTTTTCCACTTTGAATAGTTGCCTTCAATTCACAATCAGCCATTCATATAAAGCCACAATCTGTCTGTTCATATAAAGTTTCCTTATACCCTTCATTACATACCCAAATCAAATTCATTACAAATAGAATCAAGTTCAAATCTGCTGGTGACTACAGGACTACTGTCAGTAATATGTATGTAATATATCATTTAATAGTTTGACAGATAGATGAAAAGCCCAAAAGACAGACATTAGGATGCTGAAATGCAAACCATAAAAATACTAAAATTCAACTTGAGTATTTCTTTGCTTTTGGAAAACCCCTAATGATGGTATTATTCAACAAATGTTAATATAAACTTATTTTATCATGCATATTTAATCTTGACTCAGCCACTAAACGAAAAAAACGCTGCTTTCTACTGATGAGATGCATGGTTTAACCTCAGAAAAACCAAGATCATATCATGCATATCAAGAAACAAAACTGCCTGGATCCGAGGGTGAGCATGTCAATCGAGGATGCCCTCCTCTCAGACAGCAGTTCCCATGGCGATGATGGGGTAACTGTGGGAGCCTAGGATTATCTCGCTGAAATAATGTGTGCCTTGACTCATACTACATTATTCTCTTCGTGATACCACTGAAGGAATGGAGCTCATTTCATGTGCTTTAACAGACACACATGCTGTTTTGAATCTGCTAGCATGACAATCTACTTATCATTAGGACATTTTCTGTAAATCAGGAAAAAAGTAGGTGAGAAGTCAGTCTCACATACTGTCAGTCTCAAGTGTATTTCCCACTGTCACAGCATTTGTACTTTCATCTGTCTGTTGAATCAACTCTTAAAGGTTGTCATGGCTGGTTTTGGTTTTTGGTTAACGTTCATGTTTTCATGTGTTATATGTTGTCTTTTTCATAGTTATGGTTCCTGTCATGTGTTTCCCTTGCCCTTATGCAATCCTGCTATTGGTTGTCTTGCTCATGTGTCTTGTTCTTATTGGTTGATTTGGTCATGTGGTTCTTAGTTCTGTTTTGTGATTGAGTCATTGTCTTGATTGTTCACAGGTGTTCCTTGTTTAGTCATATAGTCTTGTGTATAGATAGCCATCATGTTGCCATTGTCTTTTGTCTAGTGTCATGGTCATGTCATTGCCATGGTTATGCCATTGTCGTGTCAGTAAACTGTCATGTCAATGTCAATAGACATAAAATGGGGAACACCTGGAATCAAATAAACCTAATCAGGACAGGAACAGGAAACTAACCAAATATGGGCGTAGGAAGGCACATGGGGAGCAAGACACACAAAACACGGAACAAAGTCTGACATAACGCCCCCCTCCGGAAGGCGTGTCCTCACGCCATATAACATCCAATGGGGAGGGGGGGTGGGCAC